CATGATAGCACTTGGAGCTGAACATGCCAGTGAAGAGAGGAAGCAACATTACATGGATCTTGCTGCAGAAATAACAAACACCTGTCACGAGTCTTATGCACGTTCAGGTAAACCTGTGGGCTGCCTAGAAAACATGAGGAAGGGAGAGTCTGCAGCCTAACGGACTCAGTGTTTGCGTGGCAGAGGATTACAGCAGGGTGTTTTGTGCTCCAGCAGTATCTTCATCAGTGTATATGATTTTCAATTGTCTTTTCCAGGATATCTAAAAGAAGGCAGTATGTTTTACATGGCAGACAGCTGGAGCAGCGGGACAGACAGATGTAAGCTCCTGTGAACCCAGAGCTGAATCGTAGTCCTGCTTCTCAGCCACAGAATAAGCCTTCTCCCAACAAGACTGTAGTTTGATTCTGTCCTTTCGCATCCTTATGCAGACAAAAGTAGGAAATTAACAGTGATTAATTGCCGGGTGCGCACTATATGGAGCAGAGCAGCTGAGAAGACCAACAGGAGAATGTTGGAGACCTGCAGCTGCTAGTACAAACTGAAAAAAAGGAAGTTTCTCAGCCTCTCCTGGCTGGCTAAGTCTTCCAGTTTGACAAGTCCAGTGCAATGTATTTCACACACACAGTGTGTTTATCAGTCAGTATTTTGGGAGGGCAGTGACTGGTGATGTATGAGACTGGGCTAGTTCTCTGCCTGCAGGGCTTTCAGCAAGATAAGCTAGCTTTGGACTCTTCTTTCTCTGAAGGCATCTCTGTAGCTGTTCTGAGCCTGCAGGCAGCAAAGCAGTAGTCAGCGTTCCAGGACCTTTCCAAACACATCTGTGCTAGTTGTTGTTCCCAAAGATTGTTTCACCACATCAGCAAGTCCATATTGGCAGCTGTGATCCAGCATGTTTGCCTATTAAACTTCAGGTTAACCTGAAACGGTATTTGCAGATAACCCCCCATCGCTTTGGCACATAGAGAAATAAAGGAAATCAAATGAACTAAAAACCCTCTGGCTGTGAGTGCCTAGAGCCAATTTTCACCCACAACAGTATCCATCAGCATAGAAAGGACAGTAGCAAGCCTGCCCACAGTGATTATAGTGATGCCATTTCAACAAGCTCATTGTTTGCAGAGAGTGTCTGTGCACTGGCTCTCAGCAAATAGCACAGTTAGCAAACAACGTTAGATCCACATGTAGACAGGAGGGCCAAGGGAAGGTGTGTGAAATATTTAGAAAATACTTAGAACAATAAAATGACTGCCTGAAACATGGCATTGTGGTAAACACGTGTAGCAAGAGAAACCTGGAGGAGTTGTGGACTCGAATGAGGGTGGAAAGGCCTTGCAGAGGGATCTGGATAGGTTGGAGAGCTGGGCGATCGCCAACCGCATGAAGTTCAATAAGAGCAAGTGCCGGGTCCTGCACCTGGGACGGGGAAACCCTGGCTGCACGTACAGACTGGGCGATGAGACGCTGGAGAGCAGCCTAGAAGAGAGGGATCTGGGGGTCGTGGTAGACAGCAAGTTGAATATGAGCCGGCAGTGTGCCCTGGCAGCCAGGAGGGCCAACCGTGTCCTGGGGTGCATCAAGCACGGCATCGCTAGTAGGTCGAGGGAGGTGATTGTCCCGCTCTACTCTGCGCTGGTGCGGCCTCACCTCAAGTACTGTGTGCAGTTCTGGGCACCACAGTATAAAAAGGACATGAAACTGTTGGAGAGTGTCCAGAGGAGGGCTACGAAGATGGTGAAAGGCCTAGAGGGGAAGACGTACGAGGAACGGCTGAGGGCACTGGGCCTGTTCAGCCTGGAGAAGAGGAGGCTGAGGGGAGACCTCACCGCAGTCTACAACTTCCTCGTAAGGGGGTGTCGAGAGGCAGGAGACCTTTTCTCCATTAACACCAGCGACAGGACCCGCGGGAACGGGGTTAAGCTGAGGCAGGGGAAGTTTAGGCTTGACATCAGGAGGGGGTTCTTCACAGAGAGAGCGGTTGCACACTGGAACAGGCTCCCCAGGGAAGTGGTCACTGCACCGAGCCTGTCTGAATTTAAGAAGAGATTGGACTGTGCACTTAGTCACATGGTCTGAACTTTTGGGTAGACCTGTGCGGTGTCAAGAGTTGGACTTGATGATCCTTAAGGGTCCCTTCCAACTCAGGATATTCTATGATTCTATGAAACCTGATGTGGCATGATCATAAGCAACCTCCTCTTCCATGTGTTTCAAATAAGGAGAGAGTTGGTCTTGTAAGTGGGATCTGAATGCCAGCTGTTCTTTGCAAGAGACTGAGAGTCTCAAATAAGGGACACTCAAAAAGACCAATGTACTTGAATGTTTTATTCATGAAAATGTAGTGAAGTGGATTAAGCTTTCCCCAGCTACCTGATGTCCATTTTTCGAGGCTGCTAGTGGACCAGAAGAAAGGCAGAGGAAGTGGTTGCAGGTCCCGAGGTACCTTTTATTACAGCCTCCCTGCCCCAGTACAGTTGAAATGGCTCAGTCTGCTGGGTCCCAAGCTCTTCAGTGAGGAGCTCTGCTATCAAAATCAAGTGTGGTGCAGTTCTTAAGACAATATCCCAGCCCAGCAAAAAACCTAGGATGTGGGGGAGATTTGTACCTGCTCCACACTCACATCTGGTCCAAGCCTTTTGTTTTGTCAGCTGTATTCACCCTCAGAAATGCTTTATCCTCAGCTAGGTGGTACCCAGGCATACCACAGAATGAGTGGGAACTTTGGGTAGTGAGCATAGCTCGTGTGTTCTATGGAGATGCCACTATTTTGATAGTAGCTGTGAGGTTGGTATGATACACAGGCATGACTGATCTGCTCTTCTGATCTCACACAAGCCTTAGTCAAATGCCTGCATCCTGAACACCATAAAAGCACCTGGATAATCTGTTTATCTGTTTGCTCATCAAACTGCTCATTATAAATGTGTGATTTTGTCTAGACACCAAACTTGGTCCTGAAGCCTTTCGCTTTGACACTGGAACTGAAGCCATGGCAACCAGACTCAGCGAGCGCTACTATATCCTTCGCCCAGAAGTGGTAGAAAGCTACATGTACATGTGGCGACTGACACATGATCTCAAGTACAGACAGTGGGGCTGGGAGGTTGTGAAGGTATGGTTGCAAAAATCACAATAATAATTCTTACAGGCTGCTGGATTCTTACAATAATCTTTCCTCTGGTCAATAAAAAGACCAGAAATGATTTAAATCATAAAGATACTAAGACTCATTAGTAATGGGAAAATCACAATATACAAAAATATACAAAATATACAACATCGCTTAAATTAGTATGGCTTCTCTGCTGATTGTAGTGAATGTTTTCTTTGCCCTTTGGGCTATGCTAAAATCAAACAATCAATCAAAACAGTGGAAGTTTATGGAGAGGAGTGTTTCAGTCAGCAAAACCTGCTGTTAATGTAACAGCCCTTTGCTAAAGGAGTGAACCTTGTATTTGAAATACCTGCACTACTCTGAACCATTGGCTTGGAGCTCGCCAGGGAAAATCAGCAAACTTGGCTTTGCCTTATTTTCCCACTACCACTTCCCGTCCCTCATCTCTTCCAAGCTCATGCAATAGCTAGTTGACTGCTGTCCTGCATCCTAGCTGGGACTACATTCAGTGGCAGAACTGTCATTCATCTAGTGCCCTGGAAAAGAGGCTCCGCAAACAGCTAGATTTGCCACTTTTGATCTGTTTTTGCTACACGTGTAATGTTAAGGTCAATCAGTGAACCAGTTGAGGAGGTTTATGTTTGTCTTGCTATTTGATTAGAACTAACTTTTCTCCTGGAGACTGGAGTAAGCACCAGTGAGAGGCGGAAGCTACGATAAACTTGGAATTTGATTTATAAAGCTGACTTGCAATGTGACTGACAATGATTAATGAGTTACTCCATGCTATTGTGCATTACTCAGATTTCTTTTCCTTTCTCAGGCCCTGGAAAAGCACTGTAGAGTAGAAGCTGGTTTTTCTGGCATCCGAGATGTTTACACTACAGTCCCAACCCATGACAACATGCAACAGAGTTTTTTCCTTGCAGAGACTCTGAAGTAAGTCTGGTATCGTTGAGGCCTTTCAGAGTAGCATAATTCCTGCAAGATCAACACTTTTGTCTGCATGATAAGTCTCTATTGAGAAAAGCCTTTTATCCTCTGTGGGGAAAATTGGGAAAGGATGTTGAAGCTTTGGTAACTTCCTTCTGTAGAACCACTGCTGCCATAGGGTGTCTCCAGGTTTCTTCTCATGTGCTGGGTTTAAAAGACTCTTCTGTGATCCATAGTCACTCTAAATAAATGGGAGGCTTATTTAGGTCTGATTGTTTAAGTGATAGCTGTCCCCTCTGCCAGGTTAATGCCCTGCACAAAGAGGAGGCATGACTACAATTTGAATTTGCTGCCCCATGGTGTAGATTTTCTTTTGCTAGTAGCTTGAGCTAATGTCGGGTGGCTGAGCACAGATGCTCATCCCATTTTGTTGCACTTGCCCCAGGGGTGGTAACTCCCAGCAAGAGAGTGAGGCAGGCAGGCAGGAAACCTGTCACCATAAACCATGGCAGCTGAGGCCAGTGGTGGCCCCATCACAGTCCTGCTTGCAGTGCTTTCTTGTACATGCTTGGAGTCCCACTTGGGCTTCGTTAATCTCCCTTTTGTCCGTCTTCTTCCCTCCCACCCCTGCCTTATGGCTCCAGGTACCTCTATCTTCTGTTCTGTGAAGATGATGTGCTGTCCCTGGACGACTGGGTGTTCAACACAGAGGCTCACCCCCTGCCAGTCAACCACACAAACTTTAAAACTAAAGCAAGTGTGCAGTAGTGAGGCCATTGCCCAGCACCATGCTTCTACAGCATCGGCAGGTTACTGCATTTCCTTTCCATTAAAGGAATTTGTGTTGTTCCTAAAATGTTATTTTGGGGCACTAGTCCAATTCCGGACAGTATTATATTGGGAAGCTGAAACCGTGACATAAGCACCTTATTTTCCTCTGTGAGGAGCATTATTAGACTGATAATGAGATGTTTATTCTGGGCCATACTGTACACAGTTCATAGACATTCCTTTATACAGAGAATTTATATGAAATCCACAGACTTTGCTTTATAGTGGCCAAAGGACTGGAAGTTTGCCATAAAATAGACTTCCCCACAACACACACACACCTCCTTTCATTCTTCTTTTTCATTTTTTCCTTTTATATACTGTTGGATTTATCACCTTTCTAATTAACAGTTTTCAATATACTGTGCTTTCTAGGTGGTGTCAAAATTGTAACTAAATCAAAACCTGTCAGTAAATTTCTTGATCCTAATGTATTTTTATATATTTTTTCTGTGCTCTTAAAACACATTTACCACACATCATATCTCATTTAACTTTCCCTTAGTGTTTTTGTGTTTTTCTACTTTTATTTGGAACTAAATGTTATGAGTCACTTGTAATACTTTCACTGCTGTAATAGTCAAATCTGTGAAAGAGAATAAAAGTCTTGTAAAATAAAAAGCATTTATGGGTTGAGCCTGCTTTAAAGCCATCTGTCAAAGACCTGTTACATTGTGCTTGGAATAACTAGGTGACAATACTGGATTATTTCAGGAATATTTCACAATGTATGTTGATTTCCAGCATAGCCTACTTGTATGGATAGCAATTCCCACCTGCACCAGCTCTTTTAAATCATTTGTTCACTGTCCGGTACAGATTAGCAGGAGTACTATTAAATGTCTTATTTTATAGCAAAAACTAAATCATCCCCAGATAAGTTTGCTCTTTCATATACATTGTTTCTGGAATAAAGTAACAGGAGAAAAAGAAAGGAAAAAAATGAAGCCAAATTCTTCCGTGTGTCCTGGTACTGAATTAGCTTTTTACCCTGTGTGTCCTTGGTATGTGACTCTGGGCAGGGTAACTGTGTAGAGATGTTCATACATCACTCTTGTTCTGACCCTGGTAGTTGTAGAGTACTTGCTTAGCAGTACTGCTTAGCAGTTCTTGCAACTGGGGATGGATCTTGAATTGTTGCTCCCACCAGCCTTTTTTCTGGTCATTGCAAAGCTGCATGGTCTTTGGTAACAGAATATTTTTCTCCATTCTTGTGACACTCTTGATAATTGGTTCAGTCAGCACTTAGGGAAGAAGAAATTGCTTGAAGCAAGTTGTGGGAACAAAAAATGTGTTTCTAAATTCATGCCTGTGTAATTCCCAAAGAGAAATAATGTTGTTAGATATGGATTTAGCATTATTCAAAGAATAAAGATAGGGGATGGAATGCTTAGCATAGAGGAATGGTTATTGGTAAATAAATGTTTTGCAGCAGCGGAAAGGAAAGGAAAGGAAAGGAAAGGAAAGGAAAGGAAAGGAAAGGAAAGGAAAGGAAAGGAAAGGAAAGGAAAGGAAAGGAAAGGAAAGGAAAGGAAAGGAAAGGAAAGGAAAGGAAAGGAAAGGAAAAAGAAGAGAAGAGAGGAGAAGAGAGGAGAAGAGAGGAGAAGAGAGGAGAAGAGAGGAGAAGAGAGGAGAAGAGAAGAGAAGAGAAGAGAAAACAACAACAAAAAACAGTCGTAAATTTTTCTGAGCAATGGAAGGATTTCAGTGTAGTTGCATATAAGTACAAGAAGGAGACTGAGTTAAGGGGAAAAGATTAAAATGGCTATATTTGTATCTCTCTTGGCCATGCCACTGCTAAGGAGCAATGTGGCAACCCCACCGAAGAACCTGAAAAGCACAAAGAACAGTTTCATGCTGTTGTAAAGGTCTGTGACCAGCATGATGGCAGAAATGGCACACAGATGGCTGGCATGCAGGAACGATTGCAGGGATCATTGCAGGATGGCAGCACAACGTCTACTTCCAGATTGCTGAGGAGCACTGAAGCCCCCCAGGCTACCTAAGAAGATGGATACAGCTCTTTTTGGCTATATACCGAGACCACTTTTGAAATTGCTTGGTGTGTGTATGGGAAACATGCCACTCTCCGATAATTAAAAACAAAACTACGGAGAGAAATGAGACTGCAGCGGAGGACGGTGAGCAATCTACTCTAAGAGCCCGCGTAGCTGATAAACTGCAGCAAATTTAAAGCAAAAACGTAGCTTTTCCTCCGAGGCATACCAAAGCCTCCCCCCCCGCCCGGCCAGGCCTCCTGGCGCGCAGGCCTTCACCCGGCCCCGGCCCCCCCTTCGCCGGCGCCGCCCGCCTGACGCCTCCCCCGGGCCGCGGGGCAATGGCGGCGCGGCGGCGCTGAGGGTGGCGGCATGGCGGGGCCCGGGGCGGTTTCTTCGCGGCTGGCGCTAGCCCTCGCCGCCTTGGCCGCACTGGCCGCCGTCAAGTACTACCGGGACGCCGAAGCCGCCCGGCAGCAGGTACCGAGAAGATGAGGGCTCGGGGGGGGCGCCTGTAGCCGTGCAGCCCCTGACGGAGGAGGGTGCGTGCGGAAATGGCGGGAGGAGCCGGCGGTGACGGTCGCCGCAGGGCTGTCGGGACCGCAGGGGCGAGGGGACGGCGGGCCTTGAGGTGGCGGCTGGGGTGGAGGTGGTCGTCTCTGGCCTGAGGTGAGCGCGGAGCTTTGGTAGCCAACAGCCGTCAGTGGCTGCGGGGCATGAGGTGGCTGTGAGTGAGGTGACCGTAGAGCTGTGGTGCTCACCGTACGCGGCCGTCTGTGGGCTGGAGGTTCTGTAGAGCAGGCTGAGGTGTTTTAGAGCAGTGGCGGGCACCGGCCTCAAGTCATCGCTGGGATTGTGTCAGCCACTGCCAGGCTGCAATGGATGCAGAGTTGTGATCGCCACCAGGCACTGATGGTGACCGCAGATCTGTGGTGACCACCGGGCTGGAGATGGCCGCTGTTGGGCTTGAGGTGGCTGCCAAAGGCTGAGGTAACCGCCAGACACCAGAGACCATCACACAGCCCGGTGCGGGACACAGGCACCTCCCAGTGAACTCCGTGATGGCAGAGCTTTACTGCCAGCCTCACGGGTTTGAGCTGTGCCTAGCCACGGTGCTTAGGGTTTGCGCTGAGGACTGTTTCTAACTCAGTCATTGTGTCTGGCTGGGCCTCTGCCTCCTCCCCTGTCTGCTTTGAGTCCAGTGGCCCCAGCCAGAAGAGGGAGGGACAAGCGAGAGCCTCAGACCCCCAGCCCTCTTCTTGACATAATGCTTTACACCTCGTCACATGGCCTCTAAAGATGTCTTTTCTTGCTACTTTATTTCCTTTAAAAAAGGCCCCAAATGCTCAGATTTTTTTTTTATACTAAAAATGCAGCTTTTGTGTGCCTTGAATGACTGTCAGTGGAAGTAGCAAAAGAATAGAGAATGGGAGCTGAAAAATGCAATTTTATATTTTTAAATTTGGCTTCTTGATATTGTTTCTGATTGTAATTTTTATAATTCAGTTGACTTGCATTAAAATGCAGGCGTTGGTATTTCTATAAATAAAAAGACAAGTGTTTTTAAAGTGACAGGGCACTGCTGGAGATAGGAACAAAATGTGAACAGTCCAAGGTGTTTATTATTTTCCATTTAGATGAGCAACCCACGAGCAGGTGGGAGAAGAATACTCTTTGTGAACACCATAGCTCTCTTCCTCTACAAAATGACCAAGAAAGCTGTACTTTGTGAGTATGAAAATGAATTTGCGAAGGGAGTGATCCTGCAGAGCTGATACAGTGTGACAGTACTTTCTGGGGCACAGCTTTCTCTGCTTTAGCTGGCTCCTTAAAGGGATGCGTTGTTTGGTGGAGACAGGAGGCCTGTAGGGCTGCTGTATTCAGCTAGCTGCTGGTGTTCATGAGATACGCTCATGCATGCACAGCCATAAGTCGCCTGACCAGAAAGCTACTGTCTGTCTCTCTGACCAGTTGTGGTCGTCGGAATAATTTTCTGGTGGTTCTGCGGCTGATGTTTTTTCATTGCTTAACCAATGTGAAAAGTGGAGGCTCAGAGGACTGGAGAATGCTCTCAGTTATTACCTGTAGATTGAGTTTTGGATGATAGTGTCTAACACTAGACACTCATATTCCTTCCTTCATATTCTGCCATTTTAGATGCACTCAGAGAGCATAACTGCTTCTCATTCTGCCTTCAGCCCTCTTAAGCAAACGATCATGTCTTTTTCCCAATACTACAGCAGCAGGTGGTCTAACCAGCCAAAAACTTGGTCACTCATTTGCCTTCCATCCCTTGAGGTCTGTGTCTGTGAAGTACAAAAGAAGAGACACTCTGAAAGATTCATAATTCTAACATGCTGTGGAGAGGACTAGGAAGTGGACTGTCTCCTCAGAGCCTACTATGCATCTTAAGTCGGCCTCCTGTGCAGAGCAGGATGTCATTTTGCAATGCCTGCGCAATTCCCTGTACTGTGTGCTTGCTCCCGGAGAGTGAGTGATCACATGGGCCCTTGCAAGATTAGTGCAGTATGTGGTATGCCCAAGCAAGCTCTGGAGCAGAGAAATATACTGAAGCCTGGCCCAATGGTTTGTGACATGACTCTGGCGTCTGGCTGTCAGGTAACAGGACAGTTGTTCAGGAAAATGTTGCTACTGATTTATACGGCCAAGTATGTTTGTCCCCGTTTGTTGGGGTTATAGAGGCTGAGTTTTGTCCCCAGGAATGTGGGAATTCTTGAGTGGTTTGCTCCTGTATGTAGATAAATAACTATCTTGTTCCTTCTATGTTCCATGTTTTGGATCCTTGTCTTTCTTCAGTTGTGTCTGGGTCCATATTTCTAGTTTATGCTCCAGGCTCTTTATTTTTGCCTCTCAGTCCTGAAATTACCTTGGAAGGCTTTTAAGTGCTTCTGTTGCTGCAGTTGGCTTCCAGGCTGCATTAGTTCTGCTTCAGGCTGGCAGGCAACAGATGGAAAATAAACTAGTTCAGGAGCTCTGGGGATGGTAACAGTGCTGCAGGCAATAGAGAAAAAAACACAGTGAAAGAGCAGGCTACAGAGTATTTGTCCTTGCAGCTTTAGGCTTTTACTTGGGTGACAGGGGAAGCTGTCCCAAAATGATAGATCACAGGGGATCTGCTGTAGGCTGGCTGGAAGTGATGTGAATTGTCTGGCTTCCCAGTGTGGAGCTTTCTCATTCTGCCTGCAGGTTGTCCTTTTCCCTTCAGTGCTGTGAGTTCTGCAGACTGGAAATGACCAGAATAATTTAGTCTTTCAGGAAATGTTCCAAGTGAGACATTGCGTTTCGGTGCTGTTTTCCACTGGAGAATCTCCACATGGGCTTTGCAGGCTGTCCCGCTAAGTATTATAGAGGGAGAAACTGAGGCACAGGGTGGCTGGGATTATGTAGGGTTTCTGGAGAAGGTGGTTTGAGTTGTGGCTCCAAGTGTATGACAGAATGAGTAGGCAGTAGTCCCTGTGGAGCAAGGGATCAAAATGCTCAGTGCAGTCCTGACACTGGAGACTTGGATGGCAACCTGCTGCAGCAGGACAGTTGTGCACACTACAACTGGTATGGATCTCGGCCCGAGTTTGTTACTTTTTGCAGAAGTACAAGGCTTCAATTGACTTCCTTGGTGTTTTTGTGATGTGACTAGTCGCATATTTGACTGACGTTGTTTCACTATGCATTAGCTAATTACAGAAATCAGGATCTCCTGGTTGTCGTGGTTCTGCTCGAGTGGGCAGCTGAGCTCCACCACAGCCGCTCTCTCACTTCCCCTCCTCAAAGAGGAATGGGGAGAAAATATGATGAAAAGGGCTCAAAGGTTGAGATAAGGACAAGAAGATCACGCAGTAATTATTGTAACGGGCAAAACAGACTCAGCATAGGGAGACAGTAAGATTTATTGCTTATTACTAACAAGCTAGAGAAGTGAGAAACAATGGAAAGAAACCAAAAGCACCTTCCTCCCCCATCCACCCTCTTCTACCTCCTCCCCCTGAGCGGTGCGGGGGAATGGGGGTTATGGTCAGTCTACAGCGCTTCTTCTCTGCCGCTCCTTCTCGGTCACTCTTGTCCCCTGTGCTGTGGGGTCCCATCCACGGGATGCAGTCCTTGATGAACTGATCTGGCGTGGGCTTCCCGCAGGCAGCAGCTCTTCCAGAACTGCTCCAGATATGGGTCCGTACCACGGGGTCCATCCCTCAGGAGAAAACTGCTCCAACCTGGCTCCCCTACGTGCAGCAGCTCCTGCCAGGTCACCTGCTCCTGCGTGGGCTCCTCTCCACGGGCTACAGGTCCGGCCTGGAATCTGCTCCAGCAGGGGTCTTCCACAGGCGGCAGCCTCCGTCGATGCAGGGCCACCTGCTCCACCGTGGTCTCCTCCACGGGCTGCAGCGTGGAACCCTGCTCCACCGTGGTACTCCATGGGCTGCAGGGGGACATCCTGCTTCACCAAGGTCCTCACCACAGGCCGCAGGGGACTTCTGCTCCAGCGCCTGGAGCACCTCTCCCCCTCCTTCTGCACTGAGCTTCTGCACTGGTGCCTGCAAGGCTGTTCCTCACTCCTCTCACTCGCCCAGCTGCTGTGTGGCACAGCGTTTTTTTTTCCCTGTCTTAAATATGCTCTCACAGAGGCGCAAAACAACATCGCGTATTGGCTCAGCTCTGGTCAGCAGTGGGGCCCTTACCAAACATGGGGCAGCTTCTAGATCCTTCTCACAGAAACCACCCCAATGCCCCCCTGCTACCAAAACCTTGCCACGTAAACCCACTACACTGGTGCCCTGAATATTCATGGTTTTTGGAGTGCCTTATAAAAGTTGGAAATTTTTCTGACAATAGACTTTTTCATTTGACTCTGAGTGACTCATTCAGTTTGAATTACTTAGCCAGATGTAGTTTTAACATGCTGATGCCAGCTATTCCTGGACACTGATCCTTACTGTAAATAGCACAAAATCCTGCCAGAGGGCATTAATCCTTTGATTTGATCACTGTGCTTCTGTGCTGGAAGGAATGCAAATGAACTCTGAAGCTGAGAGGGGTCAATGATTTTCTGTGAGAGATAGGAGTGAAATCTCACTTGTCTCTTCTTCCCAAATTAGGAGCTGGCACTGAAGTCTTTGGGAAGTGAGGGACTGTTTCTCTTTTCTTCTCTGGACACGAACAATGATCTGTACCTCAGTCCAGAAGAATTCAAGCCAATAGCTGAGAAGCTGACGGGTAGGTTTCTACCTTGCAGAATTCTCTCTGCATAGACGGAGAAAAAGCCAAAGATAATGTCCTCAGCGATTTCTCTTGATGTCTTTACTTTTTTTCTGTGTGCTGTTTTGGGTCTTATTTACATGAAAAGAGGCTGGTAATGCTTTACATATATTTGAAGAGCCTTAAGCAGTAAACATCACTTTCACAAAGTTCAGTTTTTATAAGACTTAAGGGTTCCATTGCTGGACTTCGCAAAGTATGTAAGTTACTTTGTCTAGAGTTTACAGAGGATTTGGGATGCGTGAATGCAACAAATAAAGCTCAGTCCAGTCTAGGCCAACATTATTAGTGAGTCTTATTTCATTCATATGCTTCTCTGGCTATAGCAGTCTCTCAGATAGCAATTGTGAGAGATCATGCTTGGAGACTGTAGCAAATGTCTCTTGGTGGTGCCAAACAGGAAATGTGGTTATGGTAATGTGCAGGAGAATTTACAGTACAATTGTAATACAGAGAGTTGTTTGCTTGTGCTGTAATGAATTGGTTAAAGTATGTGTGTCCTCTTGTAAGAGTGCTTAACTGAACCATGGGGGTTTGTAGTGTCATCTCCTGAAAAAAGGGCTCCCCTTCAATTCACGTAGCAGAAGCCATTCTCTGGAGTGGGTTTGAGTTCTGATGGGTGTTCCCTTGCATACAGCATGGTAACAGCTGGGAAGTTCCCAGTGCTCCTGTTTTAGCCAGGAAAAAATGTATAATCATTCAGATGGCTGAAGAGGGGAGGAAGTTGAAACAGCTGCTTAAATTCCTGTCTCTTTGTCTAGGGGTTACTCCTGTCTCAGAATTTGAAGAGGAAGAGACGCCTGATCCAACCGGGGAGACATTGTCCATTGTGGCTAAATTCCAGCCTCTGGTAATGGAAACGATGACAAAGAGCAAAGATGGTTTCTTGGGAGTACGTATCATGCAGGACATGTATGGCCAGAAATTCCAGT